ACCCGTGTCACATGACAGTGTGTTTGTACCCGTGTCACATGACAGTGTGTTTGTACCCGTGTCACATGACAGTGTCTTTCCCATGTAGCTGCTGAGTGCCATGGTGGCCAAGCTGGGGAACAGGGAGGACCCCCTGCCGCAGGAGTCGTTCCAGGGCGTGGATGAAGAGGAATGGGTGAGGCTCAGAGCAAGAGCCCCAGCATCACGGACAGACAGAGACAGACAGACAGAAACACTGACACACCACACACACACACACAGAGACAGACAGACAGAAACACTGACACACCACACAGACACACACACACACACAGACAGACAAACACACACACAGACAGACACACACAGAGATATGCACACAAACTTGGAGACTGACACTGACTGCCCCCCGTGTCTCTGTGCTTTTCAGGACGACTAACAGACCGTCCCGGGTTGGGGAGGGTCTGTCACCAGCAGATGGGACTACGACACGTGCTGACCCTGCCCTCTCCACTTTACTGCCTTATTGCCGCTGAACGTGTCTGGAGCTGCCCCCCCATTCCTCAGCTGGAGGGTATACCTCATACAAACCCCTTTCCCTTCAGCCCTGTAACTGCATTTCCACTGCATCCTTACAGCACCGGCACGGGTGTGCTTCACCAAGGCAACCAGAGTCTTTAGCCCCCATTTAGCAATCAGATGTTAGGGATGCTAACACAATGCGTTCAGGATTTAGCCTGGCTAAGCTAATGTCGCCCCCCCCCCCCCTAAATCACCCCAAACCACTGACGTTTGTCAAAGGGGAACCAACTGGACTTCCAGCGTACCATAACAGTCCATGTTTGCTGTCATGTGTGTGGTTGGCGACTCTTTGTGTGTTGGACTGTACCCCTCACCTCAGACCTTGTATTTGGACAAAAAACTGTGCTTCCTGGTCTTTTTTTAATGTGCCATATGCATCTCACTCCTGATCACTCTTGTGAAACACGTGCAATGCTATCTGATTTAAAACTATGTGATTTTCTCATGAATGGCACATTTGAGCAGAGGACACTCTTGCAAATCAGAATCCCACCACAATTAGTTAATCATTCAATTAAATCACCCACAATCCCCTGCAACACTGGCATGGCTGGTCACCATTGTACAGCTCCCTGCATTCCACAGAGTAGTTTCTGGCATTTTGCATTCTCTCTTGTTTACAGGGTTTTCGGGATTTTTGCCGTTGCTCTGTCGGTTTTGCTGCCTGATTCCTATGTAGGGGTGAGACACTGGCACTGAACAACAAACAAAACGATCCATCCATCCATCCATCCATTTCCAAACCCGCTTATCCTACTTGGTCGCGGGGGGTCCGGAGCCTATCCCGGAAGCAATGGGCACGAGGCAGGGAACAACCCTGGACAGGGGGCCAGCCCATCACAGGGCACAAAACGATCTAAAATAGTAATATATGTTTTGGGGTAGTTCCTTAAAGAAAATTAATAAATCTCGACTGGCACACTTCGTAACAATCGTTTTTTATATAATGTACACAATAACAATTTGAACGCAAATCATAAAACGTTGTATTTTTTTCCATTTGGACAATAAAGTCACTTCAGAAACTCGATCCATCAGTGTTGAAACTGTCTTTGCGAAAGACATGCTCGTATTGTGGGTTTGTGAGGGTAACTTTCAGGGATATTTTGTCAAAAGACTCCTTTTGCATCGGTGGGTATATAGATCTACTCTTTCATTGGAACCAAAATGGGCATTTTGGAGGGTAAACCTCCACATCCAGTTATATGCATATATCCTACTTATGTGCCGCTTTTTATTTTTCACTTTTTTAAGCCGTGTTAGCCGGAAACATATTATTCATCAGTAGAGATTACATCACGGTTTTTGTATGGTTGTTGCTAAAATAAGCATTCCTTTACGTTTTAATTTTTATAATATTCTTTCACTTTTGCACCTGTTATTTTACAGTATTTGCTGTGCTAACAGTCCAGTCCACTGTTTCATTCCCTATTAAGTCCATATAACACAGACAGAACAATTTCTGCTTAACGTTGTCTGGTAATCTTACGTTTACAGACGCATGACTGGAAAATGACAACATGTATATTGCACACTCCCGCCTAAGACACATTTCATGTGTTTTCTGCTTGTCTGCGAGTCGGTTTGTGTCTAATTCTCAGAAATATCCTGCATGGTTTTGATGGAAAATTACTTGCACTGGTCTTACCGGAACGGGATTTCTTAAAACGTGGGACTGTGCGTTTTATTATTTTTTTCTCTGTCCAATATGAGTAGAAATAAACACCGTTTAAAGTAAATCGTCTCTGTGGTTGGTTTTCATTTTAAACCAGGTTTAGCATATTTTTTTACTCTACAGAGAACCCTGCATATGTCTTGCTTTCAGAGGGACGGGATGTTCCCCGATGCATTTCACCTTCCACCCACACGGTGACGCCGCAGAATTTTTAAATGCGGGATTTGAGCCTCTGTGATTCGTTGACGGTGCCGCCCTTTCAACTTTGACACCACAGTGACATTGAAAATATACGGCATGTGCACGATTTCACCGATGTTAATGTCATAGATAAAACACGAAGCTACTGGAATCGTCCTGGAATAAGGCATGGTAAGATGTGAAATTTAAGTGTTTAATTTGTGGTGAGCTTCACGATAAAAACGTGCGTGATAGCGAGATTCCGCTGAAATGTTACATCTTGCTGCGACGTGTATGTCATATAATATATAATACATCAGTAACGTAGAAGCAGTCGCGCTTTAAAACCTTGTCCGAAATGCATAATTTTTTTTAGCTATCTACGGGCCTCGCACCGTGACATCAGTCGAGAAAAGCCGCGTTAGAATGGCAGTGAAACGTGTGGCTTTTAAAGGTCAGCGTGGATTAAATGTTTGCCCAAGTGTATGTGAAGCTGTCCTCTGTCTCCCGTAATTCCCCCGTCTCCCCCGTAATTCCCCCGTCTCCCCGTAATTCCCCCGTCTCCCCCGTA